TCGAACTCAGGTTGCTAGTAGGCAGAGTATATTGAATTAAAGGCGAGCGCCCGGACGCTGAGCTATCACGGCTCTCGCTTTATCATTTAGTTGCATGTAAATTTAAGTTCCGTACAAAAAACGTTACGCGTCATTTATTTATCTACTAACAAATTAGGGAGGAATTGTCTAGCAGGGAGAAAGAACATGTTTACGTTAAGATTAGAAGAAAGAAGCCCTCAGTTCCTTGACTAACCAGTCAGCACAGTGAATACTGTCTGTTTGTCCCTCTGTCAGCATGCTGTATCTCATGAACTGTGATAGTTGGACAGTTGAAATTTTCACAGATGATGTATTTATGTTGCCGCTATAACAACATATATTAAAAAACGGAATAAAAAATAATTAAGTGAGGCTCCTATACAACAGACATTTTTTTGCCGTTTTTATAGATAATGTACGGAACCCTTCGTGCGCATGTCATACTCGCACTTGGTCGTTTACTCATTCCCATTACTGTCACAGTACGTATCAAGTTGTAATATGAGTTACGTTGAACTTTTTTAACAATTACTTTTATTCAAGTTTATATTTATGTAAAATATTACAACGTCTAACCATAATTTTAGTGATATACAAGCTCTGTACATTGTTTCGAAGTCGTTAAACGTGTTATAACTCTAGCTCCATAAGTTGCGAAACTATACGGCAGCCATATTAGCTTTTTGCATGGCGCTCGCTAATTAGAAAGTCTGTTTGTCTTTGGAGGCATTGCGTCCGCGATGCTCGTATTCAAGTATCGCGAAATAATCAACAGATTATATAACTTCGCGGGCCAAAGATTTTCATAATATAAATACTAAAAGTATGAAAGTGACCACTGACACCGACTGTTAGTTTTTGTGAACTGTCCTCTTACAATTTTGATGCTTTTCTTTGTTTAAAATTTTTTATTTTATGTCAAAAGTTCCCAATCGAGCGGGCGGTTCACCTGATGTTAAGTGAATACCACCGCCCATGGGCATCTGCTACGCCCGAGGGTTGCAGATACGTTGACAACCTTTTGAAAATTGGGCTCCGGCTACTTCACTCATCAGACGAAACGCCAAAGTATTTTACTTCCACTTCACGCCGGTCTTCTATACATAGCGACCAATCCAATAATGTCAAAGAAGATGAGGTCGTAAGTTGAACTGAGACTACGAGATTTCGTGGAACGTGAAATAAATTGCATACATGCATACATTTGACAAAAGTTTGTAGTATGTATAATATTTTGACAAGTCAATATGGACTTCCCCTGGACTGTTTGACTACCTCGGAGAGATGTCCAATAGCCTTTTTTTTATGTAAAAATGAGGCAAGCGAGGTAACTGTTATAACCGCCACCCATGTACATTTGGAACACCCGTTGGGCTGCTGATGCGTTGCCACCTTGTAATAAAGTGGGCCCCGGCTACCTCACTCACCAGATGAAACACAGAACATTATAACAGTTCCTCTGCACGCCGGTCTTCTCCCAGGTCGTGGTTTACCCGGACGGACCTGCCCGCTCGTGCAACAGCCGAAACTATTGCGTTGCTCTATCACTTTTAAACTTATTGTATTGTTTTCACTTATTTTTACTGTTTATGATAGTTTGCGTTATTATCAACGGAGTTTATTGTTTGTTTGTATTCATTGATTGTTATTTTCCTATTAATATTGTTGTGATCTTGGCCTATAATCTCATGATTATTTTCACCATTCAACAAATTCAAGGTCGGTGGTCTATCTAGTTAGCCTTTGTTGAATGGCGTTTTTACTTCTGGTCTATATGATCTTGTATACTTTCTTGTATTTACGCATTTACACATTATAAATGAAAGATTTTTTACGGATTTAGAGTGTTTATTTCTAATCGTAATTCCGGACGTGGGCGCCTTACAGACGGAGGCGTTGGACGTTTGAGTGTCATAGTTAACCTGGGCTACCGTCTGTTACCAGTTACGTACATACGTCCAGTCTCGTACCAATTTATTAAATTATTAATTTTGTATTCGACCGATATGCAGAAGGTGCTTGTGATGTAGAAGGTGCGGACGCAATGCCTTCAAAGACAAACAGACTTTCTAATTAGCGAGCGCCATGCAAAAAGCTAATATGGCTGCCGTAGAGTTTCGCAACTTATGGAGCTAGAGTTATAACACGTTTAACGACTTCGAAACAATGTACAGAGCTTGTATATCACTAAAATTATGGTTAGACGTTGTAATATTTTACATAAATATAAACTTGAATAAAAGTAATTGTTAAAAAAGTTCAACGTAACTCATATTACAACTTGATACGTACTGTGACAGTAATGGGAATGAGTAAACGACCAAGTGCGAGTATGACATGCGCACGAAGGGTTCCGTACATTATCTATAAAAACGGCAAAAAAAAAAATGTCTGTTGTATAGGAGCCTCACTTAATTATTTTTTATTCCGTTTTTTAATATATGTTGTTATAGCGGCAACATAAATACATCATCTGTGAAAATTTCAACTGTCCAACTATCACAGTTCATGAGATACAGCATGCTGACAGAGGGACAAACAGACAGTATTCACTGTGCTGACTGGTTAGTCAAGGAACTGAGGGCTTCTTTCTTCTAATCTTAACGTAAACATGTTCTTTCTCCCTGCTAGACAATTCCTCCCTAATTTGTTAGTAGATAAATAAATGACGCGTAACGTTTTTTGTACGGAACTTAAATTTACATGCAACTAAATGATAAAGCGAGAGCCGTGATAGCTCAGCGTCCGGGCGCTCGCCTTTAATTCAATATACTCTGCCTACTAGCAACCTGAGTTCGATCCCCGGTGCCGGCACCAATGAAGTTTTTAACTTTAAGTGCTGACTTATCACGTGATCCGCGGTGAAGGAAAACATCGTGAGGAAACCTGCATATTTTCAAAATAATAACAAAAAGAAAATATATTTCGAAGATATGTGAAGTCGTAGTGGGGTCGCGTGGTGGACTATGCCCTGATACCCTCTGTATAGAGCAGGCCTTTGCCCAGCAGTGGGACAGTGAGGTGTATAGGCTATTACTTTACTTTGAATGATAAAAGCTTTTAATTAGTTTTCCGATCGGGGGCGGTGGTATGTCATAAACTATACGTGTTGATTAAAATGTATATAAGTGTTTCAAACTAATATGTTATACACGTTTGTAAGCCAATACATAAGAAATATTTCGGGACATATTTTTGCCCAAACTAAGCGAAGCTTGGTACTATGGGTACTAGGTAAATGATATTTCTGTTACCGCTATAACAACAAATTCAAAAAAATATTTAAGTGGGGCTCCCATACAATAGACATTATTAATTGCCGCTTTTATAGACAATGGTACGGAACCCTTCGTGCGCGGATCTGACTCGCGCTTGTTATAATTCTTATCCATTTTTTTTACAGAACATAGAAAAGAAGTTTTTGATGACTCCGTGGCGCAGTTGCCGAGTTATTGGCTTAGCCGTCGGGGGTCGTGGGTTCGATCCCCACACGGGACAACTATTTGTGTGACCCACAGATAGTTGTTCCGCATCTGGCTGTTTGTCCGCGTGTAATATATGTTTGTAAAGCGTCCTTACAACACACGATAATGTTATCCTATATTAAGGGCATTGTTTTAAAAAAAAATTTTCAGTTTCAAATTCAATCGACGCGACTACTTCTTAGTGAAATAAACTATTTTCGCGTTAAACTTAAACTTTAATTATAGTATCGACGGTCACGATTTGATGGTCAAGCGTAGGAACCATGAATGCTGCTAAGTGTTCGGAGCGTCAGGAGTTTGAGTTGAAAAATAGTTTTATTCAACAATGTATACATATGATACATCGCAACATGCTGACAGTCACCATCCCCAACGTTTTCATCGATGCCGTCACTAGGACTTGAGCTCGTGTTACTACTGAATTAAACGGCGAATTCCCGAACACTGAGCTACCTCGCCTTGTGCTCACAGCTTTAATCATAAAGCTATTTAACTGTGGGAGGGCCACGAAACAGTCTTCGTTGTTGCACGAATGGGCAGGTCCGCCCGGGTAAGTACCACGACCTCATAGAAGTAAGTGAGGTAGCCGTGGCCCACTTTATTTAAAAGTGGCAACGCATTTACTACCCTGCGGGTGTTGCAAATGGCGGTTATACATATAATCTCGCACTATCCTAATAGTAATTTGTAAGTAAGAGAAACACATACTATCTGTTATTCATCAAACGCGACCCAGTTAAAAAATTTCGAGTGCATTATGCAATCAACTGCTAAGTTATTCAACTTCGATTAGTGAAATATAAATATTTAACGATTAGGAGAAAATCATTTGGTTTGTAAAAATGCGAGTTCCGTTTTTGCAATACGCTTTTTGAGCGTGAAAAGTTATTTATTTATTACCAGTTTTATCAACTCGTTTAACTTGAATATACGCATTGGAAATGATTTCTTTGACACTCAATAAACATCAATTTAAAGTTAAGGAGAAACACCTAAGCCTACAACTTTCAATTAAATCTAATTTTGTATTCCATACAGAAGAGCTTTTTAAGTTTATTTCAAGTGCAATTAATGTCGCTGTGCAAAGGCCTCCTCTGTACAGAGGGTATTAAAACATAGACCACCACGCGGCCCCACGGCGGATTGGCAGACCTCACATATCTTTGAAATATTTATTTTGTTATTATTTCGAAAATATTCAGGTTTCCTCACGATTTTTTCCTTCACTACCGAGCACATGATAAGTCTTGGTAGCGTAGCCAAGTTCTTAACATTGGTATCGGTAACTTAATGACGGCAATACCCTACAGAACGCATTTTGCATTATCAATTAAGAAAGGCGTTCAAAATTACTAATTCGGATGTCTCTAACTAAAGTCTTAGAATTCTAAAACCTATCAGAGAATGTCGTTAAATATATGACTAGAGACTAGACATCGAAACTCCAAGAAAGCTGTATTGAACTGTAGTTGACAACATAAATTAAAAACTCACTCTTCATCGCCCAAAGCCTCCTTTGCAGCAGCCCGTTGACGTAGCCCTGCATCTCGTCCCTGCACATTCCTCTAACAGACCTCTGGATGTCGCTCCACTGGTCGACCAGTATCTCGGAGTCGATTATCCTCAGCATGTGCTCCATGCCGACGTAATCCGTGCGGTTGCTCTCCGCCCTGAGCTGCTGTTTGGACTCGTTCACGGTGTTCCGTATTGATTCGGTGAGCTTGGACAGGACGTCCTTGTTCGACTTTGTGGTGGTCTTCTCGGCTTGCCTCGTCGCCTTCACTATGTGCTGGACGTTGTGCGCCTTCTCCGTGGTGGGGGCGCGCCTCTCTGGCTCCACATCGCCGAACGCTTCTGCGAAGGTGAGGCCATCGTCCTCCGAGAGCAGGTCCAGCCTCTCCTCGCGTCTCCCACTCCTACTGGAGTTCGGCAGCGTCGAGCCGACCAGGTCGGAGCTGAGCCCGTCGTCCACCTCGCCCCGGGCCGACGCCTGCTTGATATTCTGGAAGGCGTCTATCAGCCCGCTCCGCAGCCTCTCCTCGCGCGCGTTCCCGCCACCACCAGCACCCGTGTCCAACTCGGCGCCCAAAGCGCAGCACGCACACAACAGTATCACTAGATATGTCATTGTCGATTTCGAAAAAGGAATCGGATTAGAAAAAAAAAGTATATCGATTTGTTTTTGATTCACCCGCACATGGCTCGTCACCGGTCGGAGTTCGAATTTCGAAATTGTTTGTTTTTTTTTTGTTAATGGTCGGGTGAACGGTGCGCGCGCGGCGGCATAGTCGGTGCGACTGGTGCGCTCGGTTTCGCCGCGGACGCTCTGACATAACGGTGTTACGGCGCTATGGCGGGACTTTCACTGTCGGCACAGGTGAGCTGCCATCCTTGTAGGGCGCCCGATGCCGCGCTCCAGTTCTCTTGTTAGGTAATTGTTGTGCGGAGTTATTATATTCGTACGGTTGATATTCGGCGCGTCAGCGTCGTGGCCTTGGCGAATGGTTTGCCTTGTTGCGCAAAGTCTTAGTTTCGAAGCAGTGTGTCAGGAACACCAGTCGTGTGCCGACAACGAGGGGCTCTTGATCAATCTTTTGATGTCTTTCGAAAATATAAGAGTTTGTTTAAAGCAAAGAACCCTTTCGTTTTAGAACTGTTTACAGTGCAATAAAAATTGCACGCGGAAATTCGATGTTTCGTAATTAAAATTAGCGTAATATTTAAAGATTCTAGGTCAACAGGAAATGACTTAACTAAAACCTACTTTTATAGAGTAAGCAGTGTTTTGATGACCAGTCTGGCGGTAAAGCAAATTAAAATGCTGAAAAGCGGTTATTTTTGTCATTACTTTATTTAAATGTTCTCTTGATCAAGACTATATTAATTTGTAATTAAAAAACATTAACTTATAATAATTGATATTAATAATTCTTTGTTTCTCATCGCAGTAATAATAGCATTCCGTACGATGGCTGTACATACTGATTTTATAATTTTCCTAATTTTGGGAGACTGGTGCACCAAAATAAGCACACGACTTGAATTATTGGCTCGTCAGGTTTTATTCCCTTATAAATTTGATAATCTATTGCCAGTTTCAAAGATTCTCTAATTTATGATGAGAGTTAAGGAGAAAATAAAGATTGCAGTTAATAAAGTGACCATATATGATATATGACTAACTGTATTGCGAAATAAAACACTCTTCTTTCCTTTAAATTTAACTTTTTTTATGTGTGAAGGTGGCAAGCGGGCAAGTGGTTCACTTGATGTTAAGCGATGACCGCCGCCCATTGACATTTGCAACACCCGCAGGGTTGCAGATGCGATGACACCTCCTAATAAAGTGGACCCCGGCTACCTCACTCACCAGACGAAACGCAGAAATGTAACACTACTACTTCACGCCAGTCTTCTGTGTGGTCGTAGTACAAACTCGGACGGACCTACTCATTCGTGCAGCACTCTTGCGTGTCCTTACCACAGAACCATTTTTTTATTATTCTTTTTTTAAAAAACTGCGTTCAAACTTGTTATTTCAAATTGGAATATGTGGTTATAACTAAAGACCATGCATACCAGAGTGCTGCTAATGCGTCTTTATGGTGGGATTATGTTCAAACACGGTGGCAATAAATTCGGAGTTTAATTTAACATTTCGTAACCGTTTCAAGTACCCCAAAATATGTTATGTAAAGTCATGACAAGCTTCGGAGTCTTCGGACCCGCTTAATCTGCGCTTTTTTATCAACATAAAAAAAACTAAGCGAATAGTGAGCATAAAAGAAAAGTAACAGCCTGTACATTTATACATATGTCCAGGCTGTTTATTTACTTTTATGCTTGGGATATCCCAATGCTGGGCAAAGGCCTCCCTTGTACAAAGGGTATTAGAGCATAGTCCACCACGCGGCCATCACATATCTTCGAATTATTTTTTTGTTATCATTTCGAAAATATGCAGGTTTCCTCACGATGTTTTCCTTCCCCGCAAGCACGTGATAAGTACGTTATTGACATTTTCATTGGTTTCGGCACTGGGGATCGAACTCCGGTTGCTCCAGTATATTATATTAAAAGCGAACGCCCAGACACTGAGCTATAACGTCTCTCAGTGAGCATGAAAGCATAATATTATTCTGAAAGGCCTACCAACTTTTTACACTATACCATAACAATAAAAAAGAAGCAATAGGTAACATGTAAAGTGTAACAATACAAATTAAAACTATAAATAATTTAATAGTACAAAAGAAAAAATGTGACTTAAAATAAATATAGTTACAAAATTAAACTATGGTTCGCTAGGATTGTGGTACATAAGATATAGATACTTAAACTATTCATCGGACGAATTAATGTCGACCATTACGCGGCATAGTTGTTTATTGCGGCCTTAGGTAACCATGGCGACGGGCACGCGCGCAGTGCCGCGAATGTTACGTCATCCCACTTTCGCTACGGTCACACGTGTCCCGAGCATCCGGTGTCGGCCAACCAACTACCAAGGCCTCATAGCCGAGCGGTTAAAGGAAACGCCTAATGAGGGCCTCAGGTACGAATCACATCAGATATAGCCATGAGGTTCGAATGACAAGTTAGAAAAAGGTCTTTTGAAGTTGAAGGAAATATAAATCTAATATATAAAATTCTCGTGTGACGGTGTTTGTAATTGAACTCCTCCAAAACGGCTCCACCGGTTTTCGTGAAATTTTGTGTGCATCGGCCAGGATGGAGAATCGGCCAACATCTATTTTTCATCCCCCTAAATGTTAAGGGTGGTCCACCGTAAACAGATTTTCTACACTACAAATTCCCTAGAAATAATTTATATGGCAGAACAACGTTTGCCGTGACAGCTAGTAATATGTATAATAAAAACGGAGGCCTTCGCTTCATAATCAATGCTCTCTTTTCAGACGGATAATTAAAAATTCCCATCGAGCATATAATGATTTAATATTAAAAGTAAGCAAGTATGTAAGTCGAAACGTTCTATGTCCCACTGCTGGGCAAATGCCTCCTTTTCACAAAGGTTATTGAGTGATAGTAGGCAACATACACGACCCCACTGCGGAATGGCAGACATTCCGGACCTTCGAAATACTTTAGGAACGAAGTTCCGGTCTGCAGTGAATAGATAGAAATCGTCACGTAACAAAAAAGCGTTATGTCTCCTTCATCTGACTCTCAGCAAATCGCTCTCTTTCTATATTTCTAACGCATGCTAGCTAACTAAACAATGGGACGGGATTTAAATAAAATGTTTATTTCTGTTAATATTTTTAAAAAAATTTAACTCTCAATGTGTATTAATTTATTTCCTTGTTATTTAGTTCTCATATAATACATAACATAATATACAGTAAAAAGAACTTTGTTCTACCCGAGGGTCTCATGATGAAGTCTCACTCATGCCCATGGGCGGCGGTAATGGCTTAATATCAGGTGAACTTTTATCTTGACTCGCCTGCCAGCTTTTCACATAAAATGAATCTTTACGGATTGTTACCTCATAAGTATGAAGTATCAATCATAACGAGGAAGTGTCTTCAGATTTTATCCATTACCATCATAGATTTCCTACTTACGTTATGTAACATTATGCCACAGAAAACCAGCTTATAATATTTCAACCACACGATGTTCGAAAATATTTATGGCTATAGAACTAAATTGAGTATATAACATGAAAAAAATTAACTTTATCTGTCCAAAAATATAAATCATAGTAAAAACAGCTTTTTATATTATGAAAAGTATAACTTTAAACCATTACAAGTACACATGCCTTATAAAAAAAGTAATCTCCTCTCATTTTCAAATGAAATTTAGTTTATGAACAAATGAACAAATAAACTCAATGAAATCGACTTGAGGACAAATAAATAAATGTTAGTTACTTAATATGGACTATTCAACTATTTGTTCGGACGACACTTAAATACTTAAACAACTCCACACACAATCATGTTCTCTCCCACAATTAAGCGTAAAACAATGGTTTTATCCGTCACTCTGATTCCCACATTAGCAGCGATCCTTTCTCTGAACTCACATAATATGGGCTTTTCGCTTTGTAGTCCGTAAACTGTTTGTTTTATATAACAAATTATTTTACAGACAAATTATAAGTTCACGTACAAAATAAAGGTTGTGTAGTATTACGTAGTAATGGTAGTATATGATTTGGCAAAACGCATTTGGCTAGGTCGGTTAGTCTAGCTCTCAGATTGGTCAGAGATTAACGTACGTGTACATGGTTATAAAAAAATGACGAAACTTTATGAAGTCTTTTTAGTATATTTTTTTAAAGACTACTAACTACTGTGGTAGGGCCACGCAGCAGCCTCGGCTGTTGCACGAATGGGCAGGCTCGTCCGGGTAAGTACTACGACCTCACAGAAGACCGGTGTAAAGTGCAAATATAAAATACTTTCACGTTTCGTCTGGTGAGTGAGTTGGCCGGAGCCCAATTTTCAAAGGGTTGTCAACGCATCTGCAACCCTCGTGTGTAGCAGATGTCCATGGGCGGCGGTATTCACTTAACATCAGGTGAACCGCCTGCTCGCTTGGCAACTTGTCACGTAAAAAAAAACTAAGAATAGAGAAGGTAGCAATAGAGGACACTTTTCGCCTGATATTAAATGGTTATCTTCGCTTATGGAACAACATCTGTGCAATTGAGTTGTCAACTTTTAAAAGAGTGTGCTCACCACCTCGATAAAGCGATACCTCACCATCGAAAGTATAAAACCTCACGACGGTTTTATTAGAAGTAGTTCGTTGTTGTCGAATATGTGCAATACCAAAAGTCGCTTTGTCCCCACTTAGGGTTACCATATTTATTACTTTATTTTATTGTTTTATCTTGTTTTTATTACTTTACTTTAGGGGACCTCCAATGCTTGGCTAAGGGAATAATTCGTCTACAATCAAAACCAAATATCCAGGCATTGACCGTATAGTCGGTGGCATTATCAGAATTTCCTTTACCACCTCACCGTAGAAACACAACTTGATATGTAGAAAATAAAAAAAATGTTTGTTAGAAAGTGTGTCTTTTATTTAATTACTCCGGTTTGGCTTTCGTCCGGAGTCCGTGCGTAATCGTAATGCGAAACACGC